TGAGAGAGAGAGAGAGAGAGAGAGAGAGAGAGAGAGAGAGAGAGAGAGAGAGAGAGAGAGAGAGAGAGAGATTGATAACATGGGCACAAAGTAGCGCATTTTCAAGGCATCAGGGGCAGTACTGGTTAAATGATTGCCAATGGTATTGTTGATGCTCGGACTTTGGATAACATCATGAAAATAATTAAGAGTGAGGATTGCCATGAGGAATAATTTCTCTGTATCTGGTATTCACGTCCTATGTACGAATTTTGTAAGCGCAGTTTTCTAACGAAAGTTCTCGAGGATTTTTTTTTTCCTTTGGGTTTGTCCTCTCTCGCGTAGCGTTTATTACTTACATTCTTTGTTTTGCAGCTTGCCGTAAGTACTGTGTGTGTAAGCTGTCTTGTAAACAAAAAATTTGGAGGATTTTGTCTCAGGGGATGGTCCTCACTCGTGAAGGGTTCATGGCGGACTGTGTTTTTTTTTTTTGTTTTGCTGCTTGCAGTTGCTTAGTGGAGTTGGCAAACATATGGCCTCTCGCTGAGGTCTTAGAAAACAAGTCTTCGATGCGATCGAGCACTAATAAGTTGTCAAAGGTGCGCTCTAATCTACCCATGCCATTCTTCATTGGAAAAACCATCAGTGGTTGAAAATGTAGTGGATAAGACTTCTCTTGGAGTCTGCTGGAAACCATATTGGAAGTTGGAAACCATACATTGTCTTTTGTGGATGTGGATGAAAGTCTTTGCAGAAGCAGTGTTTGACTGCGGGCATGGAAATTAAGGAAGGTTGCAGCAGTGGAGTGAGTCAGTCAAATGAAACTCAGCCCATGCATAGAGGAGAATGTGCAAAATGCTGAGCCAAGGGGGCAATTAAAAGACTTACCAAACATGGAGTGTGAGAATATTGTGCTGGCAACGATGACCGACATTGATAATTTGCCTCCTGAAATTTATGGGAGGGAGAAGTGGTACGCATAACGAATCCGGTTGGTGCCTCCTGAGTACTTGTCTTGAATTTTACACTGTTTGTGTTTGTAAGGACTGAAATTTAGGGAGATGAGTAGTACACATAATGTGCATCGTTGATGTCTTAGGGGCTTTGACAAACTGAAATGTACTGAAGCCATAATTCACTTACGTAGATACACATGGCACGGAAATCGGCTCATTCGACAGGTTATAGTAGTTGATGACCATTTCTTCTCATGTTTATGTTGTCCTGACTGACGTACTGCTTGCTGATGCACCTGTCTCAGGAACATATGAAACCTTCTCAAGTGGAAGGGACACGGATGCTGTGGCGGTCACTTTGGATTAATGTCACACATGCATTGCCATTCTTTGCTGGTAATGCACAATTTCTGGTAAGCTGTATAGCTGCTACTATAGCATTACCTTAATGCATTTGTTTTGCAGGTAAGGGCGTAGAGGAGTGTGCTGGGCTTGAAATCAGAGAACAATCTACGACGTAATATGGGTGCTAATCCATGAGTTTTCTCAACTTTTCTGGCATAGCAGATGTGATATGCAGAGTTGGCAGGTAAGGTAGAGGCAACATTTATTTTTACTTCGCTCTGTTGCCTCTGGCCTCTTGAGATTCTGACGTGGTCCATGTATAAATGTGTCCTGGGAAACACCACTCTTTGAAATTCCTGGTAATAGACCAAGAGCCTGAAGCAATTCAGATGATACGGAACTGGGACAAGTTCAAGGTATCCTGGGAAGGGGAGAATGGCAACACAAAAACAAGAAGGATGAAGTCCTTGGTAGATACGTATGACTATCCAGCCAACCTAAGAGATGGCCTGACTTTGAAACCATGGGATTTGATTGCAGAAATTCCATCATACGAACTACTTGGACAGAGGTCAACGGCAGGCAGCGACTAAAAGGAAAATGGCTGGAAGGAACCACAGAAGAATTCATTCAACGATTTAAGGTGATCAAACCAAACAAGAAGATGATCATCCAAGACAACTCCTAACTCCTCGTACACCTGTTCATCTGCTAGTAAACGAGCAACCCATCATTAGAAATGCAGCAGCAAGGGGATGCAGTGGACAACTAAAGAAACGGAAGGTTGAAACCAACCGCGTTGGAAGTTATGAGGAAAGGACTGCAAAGGCACAACGTCTTATCATGGGATGAAAATGACCTAGCTAGTCCTAGATAACGAAAAGAAGCCGTCAAACGCTTGGACAACAGCAGGCTGGTTTGGAAACGACGCTAGACGTCGTTTGGGCACCAGGCGACAAGAAACACACCTCACACCTCGCTGGGAACATAAAACAGTGATTTGTTACGATCCTGGTCCTTTCCCAAGTGCAAATTCAGAATGAAAGACAATGCCACCCAATTGCGAAAGAAATGAAAGCACTTGCAAGAGATAAAGACCAGAAGAGAGGTAAAGAAGAAGAAGAAGAAGAAGAAGAAGAAGAAGTACACCAGCAAGACCAATGACGATTCCCCCTTCTCTCTCCGCCTTCCTCCTTCCTCCTTCTCTTCACCAATCTTATTCTTCTCTCAACAATAATAATAACAATGAATGGATGAACCAGAATCAATGTCCGAAGTTCCCCCTTACTGCTGACTCCACTCACAACAACAACAACAACAACAACAACAACAACAACAACAGCAACAAGTCCACCATGGCTATGTCTTCCCTCCTTCAACCTCTTCTCTCAAGCATGGGCCATGGCGGACTACTGGAAGGCAGCTATGATGCTGCCCTGATGCCCGAAAGACAACTCAAAGCAGCTATGTCACTGCTTGACTTGGTCCGCTATGCCTGACCCTGCCTCGAGCTGCCCTGGTGCAGCGTTACCCCAACTGGGGCCTTCCAGATGCAGCGCCCAACAAGGTAATGAAGACGGTGTCCACCATAGCCAGGTAAGTGCCCTACCACTCTCCTACCATGTCCCCCTTCCTCCTTCAAGCTGGGGTGCTCGCCATAGCCAGGCTGAGCCGCAGCAGACCTTCACCTCCAAGCAGCGCTGCTTCAGACCAGCGCTGCGCTCCAGCAGCATGTCGCCAATCCTTGCATACCGCAAATGAGGAAGAGCTCAC